GAAAACCTACTCATAATGAATGCCTTTAAGTACTGAAGAGTTGCTTCAGTTGAAAAGTAATTAACCTTTCTTTTTAAAGCAAAAAGAGGTTATGCAATGAATATTCAATAGGCATTATTAGCATCTATGTGCCAAACACTGTGTTTATAGAGCTGAAATAAACAGAAGTGTGGTTTAGTATCTGGTAATGGGAAATAAAAACATTTTACATTTTAAAAATCAAAACTGTGTGTAATTGCCACCTCTATGACTTTTAATTACATTTAAGTTTGTTCCCTAACCCTTGGTTTTTGAGGGCGTAAATGGAGATAATGAAATCTACTTTGCGATATTTATTGTGAGAATTAATTTATGTGAAATGTTCAACGAATGCCTGGCACATGGTAGGCACTGAGTACATGTTATCCTTACCACTCCTCCCTTCATTGTCTGAGGGGACAAAAAATGATATACTTGAGGATTTTTACTTACTGAGAAATTTTATTTGTGAAAATAAAATCCAAAAAAGAGAGAAAAATACCTTAACAAAAGTAGCATAAAAGCAACACAGAGCCCAACAAGGTATTCTTTGTACCAGTGTCTTAGATAACAATAATCAGAACATACAGATAATGAATATAAATGGGAGGTTCTTATGGGTGTGTGCAATATTACGTAATTTACATGTAAATACCACCAGCTTCTGAGGTGCTCAAGGCAGCAACCTGATCAACAGCCCTGATCCTCTCTCCATTAACTTCAATATTCAATAATTCACCAACTCCTATTGATTTTACCTCCTAAATATTTATTACTCCGTCCAATTCTTTGCATCTGCTCTCCCTGCAGATCACCATCAATTCTTATCTGGATTGATTTAATAGTCTTCAAACTAGTCTCTGCCTTCAGCATTGTTTTCTGTTCTTTTTCCATAATGAGTCCACCCTAAATTTGAGGAGTGAGTAAGTGAACACTTTGGATTTTCCAAGATAGGAGAGAAGTCATTCAGTATGTAATGAATTATATGTAATTTGCCTTTCGTTTGACGCATCTGAGTCTGAAATGGGCAGCAACTTGTTCTTATATAGGAGATCAGGCTCGTGATTAATGAAAAATGATTACATAGCCAGTTATGTGATAAAGCAAGGACTATTAAATGATATACAGAAGTAATGTTTTTTTTCTTTTCATTTTCAGAGAGTAAAAGAAAGCACCCTCCAGTAAGTCCTGGTCATGTCACAATCCTTTTTCCTTCATTTCTCCATCCCATCTGGATTTTGGGCAAACAGGTGCCCTGCAAAGCCACCAGGGCTGATTTGAATCACGGTCGGTCATATGGGAGCTGGCTCCCTGTGTACAGTGCTTAACCACCGCGTTATGGCTTGGGTCTTAGAAGTAATGATTTTTGAAGGTAAGATGTGCTTATCTTAGATGATACTTAAAAGGGGCTCATAACTTTTAAAACATTGGAATAAATTTTAAAATATGTATTTTCAAAGTTTTTTTGTGGTAGGGAGACTACATATGTGTGCCAGTGCTTGAGAGAGGGAGAAGTGTGCTGGGGGCACCTCGACAGGGTCTCTATCACACTGTGATCCCCTTTCTGGAGCCCTCCAACTTCTCAGGACTCTGAGTATCCAAGCTCATGTCTGGTATGTTTTCTACCTGAGCTGGGATCTGAATCCATGTTTGGCATGTAGCTTCCAGCACTGCAATTCAATTTGCTACCAACTGTTATCACCAGGCAGGTGAGCCTGGGATAAACTTACAAAAGACTTTCAAGATGTAGTATAACTTCACGACTTCATAAATAGGTATATTTGAAATGCAGGGCCAGCAGGTGGTGTGGTGGTTAAGGTGCTGGACTCCCACATGACTGACCATGGTTCAAGTCCTGGACCTGGTGGCTTACTTCCTCTCTCTGTCTGTTTCCCCCCGGTGAGTGCCCATGCCCTGTAGCAAATTTAAAAAATAAAATAATGATAAATAAAATGAAATAATTTTTAGAAAAAAAAGAAATATATAATTAAAAATCTTATGCTGGAGTTCTTGAAATAAGTCTGTTGTCTCAGAGGCAGTGTATTTATGTTTATATGGAGAAGTTCTCAAGAAACATGACTTGTTACAACTGTCACTCTTTATATTATCAAATCAATTGATCTAGTAAGTTCAAAATGAACAGATTTAAATTAATTACCTTTATCAATTTATACAATTTTGGGAATAGAGTAGTATTTTCATGAGGTACACAGTTCTGTCATTGATCCTAGAAACTATATACCCTTCTATAGATTTTTATAGTTGTTTTCCTTTTGGTTAACCAATCTTGGTAGCAGCCTAAGTGTTTATGTGTTTCCATCTGTAGATTCTGCTGAGTGTTCATTTTCACTTGGTGGAGATTCCCAAATGCCAGAAATTGGAATCATAGGCCTTCAGAGCCAGCAGGGTAATTTCAGAGATATCACCTGAGAACTCGTTAAAAATATAAATTGGGCCAGACCAATTAAATCAGATTGTCTGGGATTGGGGCCCAGCAATCTGTTTTAAGAGTCCCGTAGGTGATTTCAAGCCCCCTAGAGTTTGAGAACTACTGACCTGAATTTAACCCTTTGGTTTTTCAATAAAGAAACTGAAGTCTGAAAAGAGTATTACAAATTAATTAGAGAAAGTACTAGAATCTTTTCTCTGTAATTCCTAGGTTGATGAATCATTCCTTAGGGACATTTTCTTAAGGGCTACTTACTAAGCAGTATTTTAAAAAACGCCAGGTAGGAGTTAAGTATAATGGCAAAAGTTTGCCATTTAAATCATTTGATGGGATTCTTAAAATTCAATAACAGTATTTTTGATTCAGTGACTTTCAGTCTGAAAGAAAAGTTTGCTTGATCTAATATTTGTTTAATTCACTCTGTTATTCACATGCATCCTTCACTGAAGGAAGTTTCTGTGCTATTTAAGTAGCTATCTCATTCCATCACTCCTGCTCTCAAACCAATGAATCTCCTGGGATCAGCAGATGGCATAACGGTTACGTCACCAGACTCCCACGTAGTCCACCGTGGTTCAAGTCCTGGAACTGGTGGCTTAAAACTCACAGTGGGTAGGTGTGTGTGCATACCCAGAATCCAGAGAGAATGGTGGAGAAGAGATTGCAGCATGGCCATTGCCCCTGAGGGGTGATTTCTCCTTTTTTGTCTCTTTGTCTGTGTCTCTCCTGCGAGTGCATAAGCCCTATAGCAAAAATCTCTGTAATAATAATAATAATAATAAAAATCTAATGATCCTCTAAAGTTTGACCTTACAGCTTTCTTTTCTTTTCTTTTTTTTTTTTTCTTTTAAAGTATTTATTACAGGAGGGCCTGCTATATAGGGTCTTGTTGCGATTCACCAACTTCAGCCAGTCCAGATCATGGGCATGAGGGTGCCCAATGTACTCAGTGAGGTCTCCCCTAGACATGAACCTGGAACCTTCCCAGGAGGATCAGCACTGCGGAGTGTCCCATTTTACCTCTGTGCCACCACTTAGCCCTAGCTTTCATTTTTAACAAGTTCCTCACTTAAGTTTGAGAACCATTAATATAGATGTTTAAAATGTTTAAGAATTAAAAAACCAATTGCCTAGACTAACATGTTCAGTATCCTTCAATATGGGTTCCACAGAAAAAAAATATTTTGCTGATGTACATATCATACTATATGAATAGTAACATTAGGATTTGCTCCAGAAACTTGCAGTAGTATAGCACTGAAATATTTTTCGGAAAGATGAGTTTCCTCATCATCCAAAGAAAGGAAAAAAGGATTCACTGCAGGAGCGCCAAGAGATGACCAAAACAAGTCGAGGGTTGAAAACAATGGACTCTATTACAAAGTGCACGTTTATGGTGGTATCGCCTGGAGTCAACCTTGACGTTCCCCGCTGCAATAAAGATCCTGGCTTACTATCTCAGCAGTTGCCAGGAATTTCAGTTTTTCGACATGACTGTGCGGGGTCAGATTTAGGAGAAAAACTAGTATCTTAGGAATAAAAAAATTTAACTGAGTTCAAAATAATCTACCTTGAATTCGTGTAGAATTTAACATTTTCAAGTTTTCACATAAACTTTATTATATCTATGTAACCATTTTCACACAAACTTTTTATCTTATCCACGTAGCAGAATGAAACAAGTACCAGCAAAACCGTTCCCTATAACTTGAATACTGAATCCACAAAAAATGACGGTGAAGCGAATGGAACCAGAGAAATGATCAAAAAAAAAAAAAAATAGGCGTGTTGTCAGTGAGGAAGCGAATCAAAGAAAAAGTAAGCACAAAAAGACATTTTTATTTTTATTTATTTATTTTTTTGCCCAGGAGACTGGCAAACCAGAACGGAATAGGGACTAATAATTTACCCTGGCAGGGAAGCACAGCCTAAGTGGGTAAATAAATGCAAAAAGGCGAGAGTGGGGGAAAGGTGGGACTAAGAAACTGACTTTGTGGAAAAGAGGACGAGGTCAAAGACCATGAGAAAGATGAGAAGTCAGGTGGCGCTGAGCGCGGCAGGGAAGTTCTGTGCGCTTTATCCCTGCCCAGATGCGGTGTGACCTCTCAGGGAAGGACCCCAAGAGCCGAGGCTGAGAGCTCCTTCAGCTTCCAGTCGCTAGCAGAGAGAGGCCTGCGAGGGTCCTTACGCCCACGACCTCTGCAGGGGTTCGACCCTTGGGTGAGGACCGCCGGGGCAGGAGGCCAGGGTAGCAGGGCAGCTCCTCCGGCCGGGCTAACAAAGGCCGCGGAGGGGACGTCCGGAGCCGCGCAACCTGCGGGGGGCCGAAGGGTTAACCGCGCGCCGGAGCCCGGGCGCATCCCGGCCCCCACCCCGCCGTCGCTAGGAGACGCCGGAAGTGGGGGAGGGGCGGGCGGCGCGGGCGAGGGTGGGAATCTTTTTCGGGAGCCCGGGGGCGGTGGCGAGGGAGCGCGCGTGCGCGTGCCCGGCCGGCCGTCGCCGCGGTGACCGTCCTCGCAGTCCGTCGGCTCGCGCTGCCGCTACCTCTGCAGGCTGTATGAGGAGGAGGAGGAGGATGTGAAGATGGCGGAGCTGCAGATGCTGCTGGAAGAGGAAATCCCGGGGGGCCGCCGGGCCCTCTTCGACAGTTACACGAATCTGGAACGGGTGGCCGATTACTGCGAGAACAACTACATTCAGGTGCGACGCGGCCCCCGGCTTGAGTGCGCCGGGTCTCGGGGTGATGAGGGGCGCGTGGGGACACCCCACCGCCAACCGGGGACCGTGCGCCTCGGGGGGCAGGGCGCGCGGGGCCGAGGCCGCCGCGGGGACACAGCCCAGCCGAGGGGAAGGGATGAGAACCCTCCGCCGGGAGGAAATCGAAGCTGGAAAACATTTCTAAAAGCCGGGAGCCTCGGCGCGGTGCGAGTGTCGCGTCCCGCCTCCCGCCGCTCCTGCCCTCCGCCGCCCCCGCACTCTGGCCGGTCTGTGTTCCGGAGGGCGGTGGAGGCCGAGACTGGCATTTTCTATTTATCGGAATCCTGCGTCCCCGTGTGGCAGAGGGGTGGGGGATTGATGGGGTACCCCACCGCCCCCACATTCTGTGGGATTTTCAAGGATCTCTATTGCTGTAAAGTGAAATGCCTCTTTTCTGTTCCTGGGGATACTTCAAAAAACCTTTATTTTGTAAAGGGGATGCGATAAGATGAGCAATTGTCCCTTGTTGGAAGTTAATGCCTTTTTTCCCCCCTCTATGGAGCATTGGAAGCTGCAGGATAATGAGCTGGTTTTTAACCCCTAGGCCCGTTAGGATAGCTAATTTCCCTGTCCCGTTAGAACAGGTAATTTTCCTGTGGGTAAAAGAACTGTGACTGTGACAGTTTTTCACAGAGAATTAGGAAAGCGAACCTCATGGTTTAATTTTTTTGCTGTGGTGGTTTGGCACTGGAACTCTTAGTGGTAGCAGGGTGTGTGGAGGCGGGGGGATATCGGGTGAGGATGAAATCCAGCTGCTCCTGGATGAAGCAGAAGATTCTGTAGATTAAAAAAAAATCCTCCTTTAAAAATTACTTGAAAGGATAGCAAGTTAAACATGCATGGTTTGCAAATCTAGCATCTTTTCTTGATGGATTATTCTGAATTTTAGGTTCTGCCTCCATTTTTTTTTTCTCATTTAAATTCTCTTGGGATAAAGGTGGAAATGGAAGCAATATGTTAAACTGTTTCTTCACCATCTTTTTTTTTGTTTGTTTGTTTTGTTTTCTCTTGCTCCCAACCCCATCTCTCTAGGTATTCTTCTTAACATGAGCTATATTGGAGAGCATTTTCAAGTCTTAGTGTAAATTTAAAAAAAGAAACAGGCGTTACAATTTATGGCTTCATAAATGTAAGAACCATATGGTTATCAGGATTGTGTTATTAAGTCTGTACTATCTTTTTTCCCCCTTCTGTATTTTGTAGGGAACATTTGTATTGGAGAATGAACCAGACATAATCCTAACCTTTTCCCTCCAAAAAGGCAGTTGAAAGTACAGCTAGTCGGAAAGTAATGTGTTTGGGTCAAAGATTAATACATAAAATGATGGGGCCAGCAGGTGGCGTGGATGTTAAGGCGTTGGATCCCTCTCATGGCCAGCTTCTCAGTTGAGTCCAGAACTGGTGCATTGAAAATCAGGCTGGCCCCTATGTGCGCATGTGTCCTTGCCTAAAATCCGGAGAAGAGACTGGAGAAGATACTTCAGTGTGGCCACCACCCCAGGGGGAAGATTGCTCACTTTCCCTCTCTGGTGAGCCCAGGCACTTTATAGCAAAAACTACAAAAAAGACAAATGTCCTTATTTGTAGAGTACTTTTCTGACACTGAGTGGGCTAAGAAGGAATCAAAGATTCAGTTGCTCAGTTTTTCACTAAGTACATTCAAGTGTCTTCTTTGGCCCAGGACTGTGTCAAGGGTTGATGGTACTCACCTAGTGTCTACCGTTTTTTAGCCTGGTTAGTAGGAAAGGCTGATCTGCAAGCAGTGAATACCATAAAATTAATTTAGTCTCTAGTGGGACTACAAGTGGGAATTAAGTTTCTAGGGAAGGCAAAACCTAAAGGACTGAAGTGGTTATTCCATTGCCTTGTGCAGGATATTATGGAAAACTGGTACATCAGAAGAGAAATTGGGAGTAAAAATGTGATAGTACGGTAGTTATTACCAAAAGTTAATAGAAGCATATTTGTCTCTTTGGAAGATGATTTTTATATACTTTGAAGGTATGATTCCTCTTAGGTTGTAGTTGCTACATAAAGATGGAAAGTGAATGGATTAGAAAGGTTAAAGGGTTCAGTTGAAAAGAATAGTACTGTCTCCGTTACCTGTTTTAGGATTAGGAATCAAAATTTAGTGTGGTGGCATTTTAAAATTTAAAGCATAAATATTGACTTAATAGGAAGAGACAAACTAGTTTCTTGAATTTAAGATCTGAAATAGATTTTACACTTTAACCTCTTAGATTAACATCTATTTCAGGATCCAGTGCATATATTATTGATGCACTCTCCCAGGATAGCTCTTACATGACTTACTGTAGTAAAATTGATAAATAGAGCACGGTGATAGTGGATTTGTGCTGACCCAGCTGTACTTTTGGCTGGCTCTCTTTGTGACCACATAACTGACCAGCAGGGATTTTACTGCTGCCTGTGGAAAGTTAACTGGTGGGATCCATGATCAGATGGTCAATTGAGTCTTGTTAGCATCATCTCCTAGCTACTAGCTCAAGTTAACTAGCCCAATGCCACTTATTTTATTGTGTGAAATGTAATTTGCACCTATAAAGCAGAAAAAAGAGAAGTCTGTTATGATTTACAGTAAGTGTTTTTGCTCAGTGTTTTAAAACGACTGGTTTTATGCCTAGGAATGTCAAGCAGTAATTCAGATAAGAAAGAATATTTTAAATGTGGGTTATATTTAGTGTGAAAATTGAGTAAAGGAGGGGAAATGCACTTCCTGAAGACAATTTTACTGTTTAAATTATTTCTTAGAAAAGTACTATGCAGAAATGTCATCAGCAATATAAGTGACCAGATATTGTCTCTATAAACACACAGAAAACCTGCAGATGGTGCATTGTTGTAAATATTGGGTCATCGCAAGTCATGATGCGTTTTTGTAAATATTGGGTCATCGGAAGTCATGATGTATTTTTGTAACAGAAAATATACCAGTTGAAAAACAGAAAAAATACCTCATGACTTCTGATGACCCAGTAGTTGTTTTCCAGGTTACTAATGCAGTTAATCTTAACAAATTTTAAATAATCTTTAATAAAAATTTAGATAGTTTTTATTATTTCAACCTCTAGAAAACATAATAGTCAAAATATTTTTTCTAAAATGTGAAAAAAATATAAATACAATTTATTGTTATTTACCAAGTTGATTTTCTTTATTTTTAGCCTATAAAAGTGATTTAGTAGTTGGTAAAGACTTTCTTTTTTGGAGTACCGCACATGTAAGACCTATGCTTGCTTTCTTCATTTATTCATAAAAACATAGAATGTTAAATCTAGTAGAAAACATCCAGGAATTTAAAAAAAATTATGATTAACTTTAAGTCTGCATTTTTGCAAGTAGAAGGATTTTGTAATAACGTGGATCTTGTTAATGTTTTGGTAGATGAATTAAGTTTATATTCTTTACTTTTTTTAAAGTCAATCTGAAAGGCCAGCTTGTTCATATTTAATTTTGTGTTGTTAAATAAAGGAAAGTCAATAGCTTTTTAAAGTGACAATTCACATATATATAGTGAAATCACATTGTCCATTGTTTGAATTAAAAGCAGAATCAGAACTGCCCATGGTGCAGTGGTTGGGAAAGCTGGATCCCACAGTTCAAATCCTGGCTTGATAGGTGCATGCTCGGTGAACACATGAGCCATGTAGCAAAGTAAAAATAATAATGATAAATAAAATTAAGTAAATTTTTTTTTCAGAGATTTTTTTGCTACAGAGCCCATATTCTTACCAAAGAGAGATAGAGAGAGAGAGAGAGAGAGAGAGAGAGAGAAAGAAATCACCCACCCCGGGGGCTGGACACACTGCAGTCCCCTCTTTTCCATTCTCCTCCCGGGATTTTGGGCATGTACACACATGTTCCCAGCATGAGTTTCAGGCCACCAGTCCAGGACTCTCACTGCAGTCGACTCTGTGTCAGTCCAGCCTCTTAACTACTACACCATCTGCTGTTCCCCAGTAAATAATTCTTTAATTAAAAAAACAAAACAAAACAAAAAAACGTATGGGATGGGCGATGGCCCAGAGGTAATGCAACTAGACCCACATAGGAAGGGTCCTGTTTCATATCCTGAGACATCCCTGAGCATGTCAGATGCATTTAGACCTGTGACCTAGCCCAGCTGAGACTGGAGATGGATTATGGCCTTAAGACCCTGTTAGGGTGTGCCCCCTCCCCAGAAAAAAATAAAGACTTCACGGTCCAAAGATCAGATATATATGAAAGATGACTGGGCAATTTTTAATTTCTTCCTTAATATCTACCAGTATTTTCTAATAATTTTTTCAAGAATGAGCATGTGTTTTTAATAATTATTAAATAAAAGATTTAATCTTTTTACTTTTTCAGTAATTTTTTTTATTGAACTGATAATAAGCCATGATTCTATTATCTTTTAAACCTTTTGTGAAGTTTTTAATTTATTCTCATAGTATCTATCTTTTTTCTTTTTCTTTTTTGCCTAGAGGGTATGTGTGCTCTCCAAAGAAAGAGAGCGAGAGGAAGAGGAGAAAGCACACTCCAAGGGAAGTGGTCACTCCACAATCCCTTCTCCATCTCTCCCTACTTTTTTGAGATTCTGGGCATGCACATTGCTGCCTTGACCAGTAGGCCACAAAACTAGCCCAGGAGTATCTATCTCGAGAGAAGAAACATAGGCTAGCTAGAGGCATGGTGGTTAAGAGGCAGCTAGATCCTGTAAGGCTGACTGCACAGTTTGATTACGAGACCCAGCAGCCTGAAAAACACCAGGCTCATGTGCACGCACGCCTAAAATCCTAAAAGGACAGATGGAGAAGGCACTGCAGCATGACCATCCCCCATGAATGATACTTTCTCACTTTCTCTCTCTCTCTCTCTGACTCTTATGGGCATCTGCACCCTCCAACAAAAAATTTTAAAGTCTCCTACTATTCCAAAGA